TCCTTAACAGCAACCCAGTTTGCTTCAAAGGTGTGAAAAGTCACAGGTATGGGGCCCGTCGTGGTCGCCATCCCCGTAACTGTCGTCGTTTTTGACGCTTCAAAGCTGCCATCCTCGTATCTCTTGTCATTTCTAGCCCCTCGTGCTTGTGCTTGCGTCTCGTCTCAAACGTCCGAAAAGTCATAGGAATCGGGGTGGTCCTCATCGCCGTGCTCGCAAATGTCATTGGTTTTGAAATCTCAGATGTTCATGGCATTCTATCAATTCTCACAGTCATGGGGATTGGATGGGTCTTCATCTTAAATAACCTTTCTATAAACAATAATTAACTCTCTGTACACCTTCTAGAGCTATAAACCTTCTACATAGGTTAAAAACCCTCTACAAACACGATAAAACCCGTATTCACTTACATTTTGAGCCAGAGGACCGCAGGGCGGGAGGCGGGGGGGGCTAATGTTTACTTGGAGGCCCATGGGACTTAGTAACTACTTACAATTGGGATTATCACCTTACCTATAATGCAACACACATGCTAACCCCCAAAGCTCTAAACCCCCAAGCTCCCGAAACACCCAGCATAGAATTTTCTTGCTAAGAGCCCAACAGGAGGATGGGGACTTCAAGCACGTCTTATCTTCTGCAGCCGTTGGGCGACTTCAGCTAGCCATGGAAGCTGGAACCATGTGGAAGTGCAACTCTTTTTCTTTGCTCCTAAACCCCTAAACCCCTAAATCCCAAGCCCTAAACGTTAGGGTTTGGGGTTGAGGGTTCGTTGAAACTACCCTAAACCCTAAACCCTCGTATGTTAAAGCCAGAGGTCATGTTCTTTCCTGACTGCATTCCCCAAGGGTCCATGTGGATCCACGGTATATTCTTAGGATCCAAAGGGGTTTCTGTATAGCTGCTTTAAGGCCTAGTTATATACTATATAGCTACATGGACGCTTTGGCATCCTCCCCTGAAGTAGATAGAATATGGCTTTGGGTATATGAAAATAAGATCCCCATATACCCCATATTCTATCTACTTAAGGGGGACTATAAACGCCAAACCCTTTAGGAAATTGCGGCTGGCACGGCCTTCTGCGAACGTGCTGAAGCTATCAAGGCCTTGTCTGCTCAAGTGGGGTTTAAATGGCCTAGGGTCTACCCGGACCTCCCGAATACCCATATTCATAACCTTTATACCCCAATTACGGCTTTGGGTTTGGGATCTAGGGTTTAGGGGTTAGGGATGGGTCTTTGGGAGGTCTTGGTCGGGCTTAGGGGTGCTCCTCGGATACTGTAGGAGCCTGAACATAAGCTCTCATGGGGCAGTGTCGCAATAGGTTCTACGAAAACTAGGGGAACCCTGTTTTTTCTTATCACGCAGTGGCACGGCTGATTCTGGGAAACACCTCAAAAGTAAAAACCATAGCAAAAGCTACAAACTTAGGGGAGCACACTCTTAGAGACAGATCAGGTTTGCCATGATCAGGATTTCTCTCCTGAAGCCGGCAACATCACCTTAGAGCCAGAATCCATACCAACCAAATCATGAAAACCAACCGTAAACACTCTGAAGCTCCATACCCAAACCCTATAGTCCCCCCTAAATGGACAGAACATGGGGTATATATGGGGATCTTATTATCATATACCCCAAGCCATATTCCTCTACGTGAGGGGGACTATAAACCCAACCTTCCTAACTCCGCTGGGCTTCCTATCAAGGCGAAACGCCGCATGGCTGATGTTGCACAAGCAAAGCGCGCAGCGGCTGCTGCGAAGGACGAGAAGGAAAAGCGCAGGAAAGAGAAATCCAGGTGCCCATGGCTGAAGAAGCAGTTTATAGCAAAGTTTAGGGTTTAGGCTTTAGGCTTTACCCAAAACCCTAAACCCCTAGAGGCTCTTGCAAGGGCCAAGGGCAAAGGGGAGGTCAGAGCGAGAAATAACTTAGACCTGACTTGGCACCCTGCAGCCTGCCAAGAATTTCTGGAACTTTGGTAATGTAGACCCATGATTCATAAACCCCCTCCTTTTAAGAGCCTGAATATTA